AGATTGGACACCAGAAGATATTATTTCTGAATTATCTACGTATCCAAACACTATTCCTATATTAAAAGTAAGAAGATTAAATTACCGAGTACGCAATGAAGACAAACTCAGATATGAAAGCTCTGAAAGTGTCGTAGTCACATTTGACGGTCAAATTCTTCCCTCGAGAGTTTATTTTTGTTATTCTTCCATCCCTGTTGAAATTTATAAACTTCCAACGATTCAATGTTTTTAGTGCTGCAGATTTGAACACACTAAAGATTTATGTCGTTCCAAGCCAAGATGCTCAAATGTGGCGATGATCACTCTTCTTCTTCTTGCGATAAAGATAATGGATCTTTTCGTTGCTTATTCTGCTCAGGTAACCACAAAGCTACGGATTGTAGATGCCCTGAACACACACGTCAAAATAATATTAAAATCGAAATGGCACAAAATTCAATCTCATAGAAGCTTCACAAAAATATCCCCAAGTTTCATCAAAGTCATATGCTGATGTTCTGATCTCAAAAAACCCTATACATTCTTCTCTTTCTACTAATCCTTCAAAGGATCATTTTCCTTCACATGCTGCTTCATCTAGTAAAACTTCTTATAAGAAATCATTACTTATTCCTAAATCATTCCGTCACCATACACAAACAGGAAACCACAAAAAATTCATCAAAAAATTATTGAAGATTTTTCAATTCCACAACCAGAGGATGGTTGTGCTCTTCAGGTTTCACGTGATACTTCACAGGGTAGTTTTAATTCTATAGAAAGCATTATAAATTCCCTTATTAACATAATCATACCTTCGTATTCGTCAAGGTTACCGTCCCACGTTGCTCGCTTACTAAATTCTATACCTGAAATTCTTCATGACATTCACTCTCACAAAGATCCTTCAATGGAATTGTAGAAGCATTCCAGATAAACGTACTGAAATAATTTATCTATTAAAAAAATACAATGTTTGTGTCGCTGCTATTTCAGAGACATGGCTGAAACCGGATTCCAACATCAGAATCCCTGGTTTTTGTTGTGTTAGAAATGACAGATCTGATGGTTATTCCGGATGTGCTTTACTTAGAAAGAATAATATCGCTTATACCATTGTAGATTCATGATGAAATATTTGACTTCAATATAGTATCAGTAAGAATTCAAAATATTACTTTCGTTTCTATTTATGTTCCCTCCCCGTCTGTCCATACGTTTCGCAGAATAAAATCTTTAATAGCCTCGTTACCCAAACCATTTTTAATTCTTGGTGATTTTAATTGCTATCATTATTTGTGGGGTGATAATTGTGATAGATTCGGCAGTTTATTAGTTGAAATATTTGACGAACTTAACATTGGCGTCCTTAATACTGGTAAAATCACCAAACACTCTCGTCCCAATGAGTCTAGAAGTGCTGTAGATTTATCAATTTGTACCCCTGATTTAACCTCTCTTTTAAATTGGACAGTTTCCGATAGCTCTCACGGCAGTGATCATTTTCCTATTCTGATTTCCTTTCCAAACAAAGAATCGGCAAAAATTAACAAAAAACCTTGTATTAAATACAAATTAGACAGAGCAGACTGGAACTTGTATAATAGTATTCTTTACAATGAAATTCTAAAAACTGCTCCTATTTCTGAAAATAATTTAATTTCAATTGTTGAAGCATTTACAAATGCAATTATAAATGCAGCAGACCAAACAATTCCTTCTAAAACTCTAAATAATAAGTGTAAGCCCTCCCCTCCATGGTGGGATTCTGAATGTACTGAGGCCATTCATAATAGAAAAAAAGCCGAAAAACTATATAAATTAGACATGAGTTCAGAAAACTATTCACACCTTCAACGTATACAAGAAGTAACTAAAAATACTCTTCGCGACAAAAAACAAACAAGTTGGCATGCCTTTTGTTCTTCAATATCTCCCTCAATTCCTTCATCAGTTGTTTGGCGTAATATAAGAAAATTTCGTTATTGTTTTTCATCTTGTTCTTACAGTGATGCCATTCCCTCTCAATCAATGAATTCTTTTCTAGACAAACTTGCCCCGTCTTTTGCTCCTTCGAGAGAGGAGCTACCTCAAAGTATTCCATGTGAACCTTTTTTTGATCCCTTAGAACGTCCATTCTCTCTAAATGAATTAAAGCTTGTCCTTTCTCACGTCCATGATTCGGCACCTGGTCTAGACCGTATTCCGTATTCACTACTAGCCAAATGTAACGATCAAATTTTAACCTTCTATTTAAATATCATTAACGCTTTGTTTAACATAGGTTTTGTTCCTGACTCTTGGCGGACTCAAGTAATTCTTCCTGTCTTGAAACCTAACAAAAACCCTAACGATGGCTCTTCCTATCGACCGATTGCTCTATCCTCAACTCTAATTAAAACCTTTGAACACATGATCAAGAATCGTCTTGAATGGTATGTAGAAAGTCATGGATTATTATCAAATACTCAATATGGATTCAGAAAAGGTAAAAGCACATATGACAGTCTTCATTCTTCACCACAGATATTAGACTAGCATTTTCGAGAAATGAATCGGTCCTTGCTGCTTTTCTTGACATTTCTTCTGCTTACGATAATGTTAGACTTAACATCCTTAGAGAAAAGATGTTCAAACTTAATATATCCAAAAAACTTACAAATTTGATTATCAATTTATTTCTAGATCGGTATATACATATTAAATTTGATGACGATTTAAAATATACTCGCATATACTTGGTGTAATTCTTGATAATAAATTATCCGGTATGCCTCATATCATTTATACCCAAAAAAAAATATAAACATTCTAATAGCTTTGTGCGGAATATGGTGGGGCGCCCATCCATATTATTTAAAATTAATTTATAATGCAATTATAAGAAGTCGATTAGATTATGCCTCATTTCTTCTGGAATCTGCTAATAAGAAAGGATTGAAAATTTTAGATATCGTTCAACACAAGTCTTTAAGATTAATTTTAGGCGCTATAAATTCATCGCCTATCAATGCCCTGCAAATTGAATGCGGTGATCCTCCGCTTTTTTTTAGACGACAATATTTATCAGATGCTTTCTTTTTTCGTGTTCTTCAATTTTCCAATCATCCACTAATCTCTAAAATTCGTTTACTTTCTCTTTGTTTGTGCCATTTGCTGTAGAGACTATCGGTCCGTGGGGTCCACATGCGGTGGAGTTCCTAAGGGAACTCCATCCGCGGCTGGTCGTTGCTACTGGTGATAAGAGGGTTGGTTCTTTTCTCGCTCAAAGGCTAAGTATAGCCATTCAGCGGGGAAACGCAGCCAGCGTTCTTGGCACGATACCGCGGGGAGCAGGACTATATGATAATTAAGTTTCTAGTTTTAATTTTTTTTAATTATTATTATAGTTTTTAATATTGTATATTTCATGTAAATAAATATTAGTGATATTTTTGATTATATTTTATATTTTTGGTTACATTTTTATACTTAGATAATAACAAGCCAAATGCTTCTGTGATATTGTTGATTATATTTTTTAATGTTGATCATATTTTTATACTTAGCTAATAAACAAGCCAAGTGCTTTTGTGAATAATTATATAATTTTTTTTTGACTTGATTATTATTTGGTGTGATTTGTGAAATATATCTAAAATTATGATATAATAACATTTTGTTTAATTTTAAAGTTCAACCATAAAATATTAAACGTTTTTAAAAAGGATTTTGTAGTAGACTGTACTAAGTTACCTCACATTTTTATGGTCGGGCGAGTAAGATTTAATACAATGTGGTTTTATTTGAAGTCGTTTTAAAAATTTAGTTTAAATTTTTATTTACTACAATGTACTTTTATTTGAAGTCGTTTTTAAAATTTAGTTTAATTTTTTTACCTACGAGGGTGCGAGTTGACGACAGAAATATTAGGTAAATATACGAAAGGCCAAGTCGCCCGATTGGACGAGTTTTTATCGGGCGAGATGACGAATAACCCGGATAGATTGGAGATTTGAATACAAGCGCTCAAGTCATAGCAGACTTTACGATTGAAAAGATAAAACAAAAGAACGAAATTAACATTATTTCTATTAAAATATTTTCTAAGAAAATGCACTTCAATAAATGTAAAAACATATCGAAAAAACTCTTACATTACAAAATAAACATTATTGACGATGAACCAAAACCTAATACAAAGGGTATAAAATGTATTCCCTCAAGAAGACCGTCTTATTACAGAAATGGGAACGATATCCTTAAAGATTTAATGGATGAGGACCCTGAGTGTCGGCGCACGTCATCGCGCCTTGGCCAAAAGTGGAGGACGCGGGGGGCGCGGACCGGTCGTTGACCCTGCGACTGCGTAGGCACTTCCGTCGGACACTCAGCTGCGAGACGCAGTAGCAGACGGGCACTTCATTCTTCAATTTATATTGTGTTTGTTCAGAGTATTTTTACGGCATTAAATCTATAGTTAAATACAGTCCACTTATTTTATTTACAAAGTCTCGATAAGGCCTAAACATATGGTCCTTCGATCGCAAAACATTTACCAGTTTTTTGCCGTAATTAACGTCGACATTGTCAACGGTCACCGAACTTTGAACCCACGGCCACATATATTGAAGAAGGAAGTCGTTCCCGTAGCAGCCTGCGTCATCATTGAAGACGCTGATGTCATCCTGGGAGTATAAAAACTGTATTTGAGTGAGTTCGTTCCAATTAGTTATTTTTCCACTTTTTTTCATGCCGAGAAAATCATTTCTACATATTTCATTGGCTAAGTTATATAAGTAATATTTCATTTACTTTTAATAAGTAGGTACCTAATTAACTTCAGTGCTTTAAAAATTGCTTTGTCATTGCAACGTTCGCTCGTTTAAATTTAAATGCTTATTCCGTTACAAATATCAAGCGGTCAAGTGTCCATTCGTTGACCTTGCGCTGATTCATATTTTACCTGCGCGCAACAGTCCTTTTGTTCTCGCACAGCAGTTATCTTTTTATCTTTGCTGTGTTTATATAAAAATAAAATGGCAGATAGTTTAAAAACTTTATTGAAGAAGCGTAGTTCGATAAAATCAAAGCTTACAATTTACAACAATTATTTAAATTTAATTAAAAGTAGTTCTGATATTTCTGAGCTGCAACGTCTAGACTTAGCGGAGCGTTTTAATAAATACGAAACCTTATATTCAGAATTTGATGAATTACAGACAAACATAGAAGTGCTTGCCGATGATGCGGGGTCTACGTTGGTTGAGCGTGAGGACTTTGACCGTCAGTTCTTCAATCTGGTGGCCATCACGCGCAGCTTGCTCGGTGCTTCGTCCAACGGTGCTGGGTCAGAGGCGGGCTTCAGAGATGCTGACTCAGGTGCTCACTGTTTAAATAAGAATAGTTTTATTCGTTTGCCTAAAATAGATTTACCACATTTCGATGGGAACTACCAGTGCTGGCTCGAATTTCGAGATACATTTACGTCATTAATACACGATAACTCTAGTATCAATGAAATAAACAAGTTCCACTATTTGCGCGCTTCATTGCAGGGAAACGCAGCCTTAGTTATTAAAAATATTGATTTTAAAGGCGATCATTATAAAATTGCATGGGACATGTTGTGTGAGCGGTATAACAACAACCGTCTCCTTGTCAATAATCATATGCAAGCTTTGTTTGATATCGATCCTATAGTCAAGGAGTCAAGTGTCTCAATCAGAAACCTGGTAGATACACTTAATGTAATGTAAATGTAAGGGCACTGACAAAACTAAATCAGCCTACTCAATATTGGGACACATTATCAATATATGTCATGACTAAAAAATTAGATTTGACAACAAGTCGTGACTGGGAAGAGCATAGGAACAATATTTTAAAAGATGATCCTACTTTAATGCAATTTTGTTCTTTTTTAAACAAGAAAGCGGATTGGTTAGAGTCCGTCGAGTCAAATATCTATTCTTCTCAGACGAATACTACTGTAGCTTTAAATAATAGTCATACATATAAACATTCCAATTCTAAAGTCACTCAAGTTAATAAAAAATCACATAATAATTTTAATAAAATAAATAAATGTCCACTTTGCTCCCAGGCTCATACATTATATAAATGTGAATCCTTTAGAAACTTAACTATAGAGGATCGCATAAAAAAGGCAAATGATTACAATGTTTGTCTTAACTGCTTGCGCGTCGGACATTCTGCTAAGCAGTGTAAACTCACACATTGCAAATATTGCAAAACAAAGCACAATACGCTTTTGCATTTAGAATTTAGTGAACCTAAACCATTTTCGAATCCATTGCCTCTTGCTTTGGCTTCTGCTTTGCCTTCTGCGTCAAACATAGCACTATCAGCCAATTCCTTGCAGCTTGCTACTCCTGCGCATGTTTTACTGTCCACAGCTATGGTGAACGTGATTAGCGGGACGGGTAAGAAGTACACTGCGCGGCTACTGCTGGACAACGGTAGTACCGCCAACTTTGTTACGCAGAGACTATCAGAGAAACTGGGTTTGTCACATCGCGATACGAGCACCAAGGTAACGGGTATTAATAATCACATATCCACCAGCACACAGTCTTGTCACCTCACAATTGAGTCTTTATGCTGTGTATTTACTGTTGATATCGAGTGTCATATTTTACCCGAAATAACAAAGGTTCTACCGTCTTCATTCGTGCATATAAATCACGTCCCTATTCCTTCAGGTCTAACACTAGCAGACCCGAACTTTAATGTTCCGTCGGTCGTAGACATCCTGGTAGGGGCTGAGGTGTTTTGGAATGTCTTAGGCAGCAAAACTATAGATTTAGGGAAACATTTACCTAAATTGTGCGAAACTAAATTCGGTTGGCTTGTCTCCGGTAGTATTTCACATCAATCTAGTTTTGTTTCATCACACCTTTGTCAGCATTCCAACGTCACTCCCGACCTAACTCAATTTTGGGAGCTTGACAACGTGTCGTCAAAACATTCACTTTCTGTTGAAGAAAGGGTCTGTGAACAACTTTTTGCCCAAACCACCGTTCATAAAAATGATGGTAGGTTTTTCGTGACGATGTCCTTAAAAGAGGACTCTAGAACTTTAGGGCATTCGTATGAAAACGCAAAAAATCGTTTTCTATCCCTGGAACGGCGATTTAAACGCGATCCTTCATTTAAAACCAAATATTGTGAATTTATGAGAGAATATGAGCATTTAGGTCATATGACTTTAGACTCTGACTGTACTTCTACGCCTAAAAACTCCGTGATCACATATTTCATTCCACATCATGGAGTCATTCGTAGCTCTAGTACCACTACTCAACTACGCGTAGTATTCGACGCATCAGCCTCTACCAGTTCGGGCGTGTCTCTTAATGACATTCAGATGGTCGGTCCCGTAGTGCAAGACGATCTCTTTTCCATTTTAATACGTTTTCGTCAACATAGATACGTGGTCTCAGGTGATGTAGAGAAGATGTATAGAGCCATTGAGCTAAATCCAGTCCAACGTCCTCTACAAAAAATTATTTTTCGGTTTGATCCTTCAGAACCTCTTAGAACCTATACATTAAATACGGTCACCTATGGTACCGCTTCTGCTCCTTATTTAGCCACGAAGTACCTGGTAAGTCTGGCTGATAACATTGAGGATAGTCAGGTCCAGCGGGCCATACGACGTGACTTCTACGTTGATGACTATCTGAGCGGAGGAAACACCATAGCTGAGACTGTAACAATTGCAAATCGCGTACAATCGGTTCTATCTTCCGCTAAATTTAACTTACGCAAATGGCGATCAAACCATCCTCAAATTCTAAATCAAATTACAAACAGTAACGAATCGTATGATACTCATACGTTGCATTTTTATAAGCAGGGTTTAAATTCACATCAATCTAAAACTTTGGGTCGTAATTGGGCTTGCGATTCCGATTCACTTACTTATACTATTAACATAAAGTCGACCACTAAAGTAACTAAACGTCACATCCTCTCAGTTATCAGTCAGATCTTTGACCCATTAGGCCTCGTAGGTCCATGCGTTGTCGAAGCGAAAATAGTCATGCAGCGTTTATGGCTACACAACTATGACTGGGACGACGAAGTATCGCTCGAGGTCAGAAACCTTTGGACGACATTCGAAAATACAATAACATCTTTAAATAATTTAAAGATTCCTCGTTGGGTTTTGCGTGAAAACTCTAGTACGCATGAAGTACACGTCTTCACCGATGCGTCCGAAAAAGCTTATGGCGCATGTGTGTACATTCGGTCATGCAGTAACAGTAATACTATTGGCGTACAACTTTTAGTTTCTAAAAATCGTGTAGCGCCCATCAAGCCGACAACAATACCAAGGCTTGAACTATGTGGAGCATTGTTAGGTGCCAGACTGTGTACCAAGGTTCAGGAAGCGCTTTCTTTACCCATTCACCGATGTAGATTCTGGTGCGACTCAACCATAGTCTTGGGTTGGCTCTCTACTCCAGCTAATCAATTAAAATCTTTTGTGAGAAAAAGAGTCAACGAGATACAGGAGAGCACTTATGGTCATACCTGGAGCTACGTGCCGTCGAGGGACAACCCAGCGGATCTTGTTTCCCGTGGTCTTAAAGCTAACGTTATCAAGGACACACCACTATGGTGGTCCGGACCCTCTTTTCTGTTGCGTAATGAAAATGAGTGGCCTAAAATTCAACGATTATGGGCAGCCTTACATTGGTGTAAAGAAAATAATCAACTGTACAGACATTTTAGTATCGCAGATATTTGCCAAATTGCACCTGACATAATCTTTCATCAAAATGAAAGGTCACATATCGGTGCTCTTACGACAAACCGTGGGAGTTGTTTTGTAGACAACGGAATTGTAGACATTGGATGGATTGGAATGGATAAATTCTAAGAGGAATATTTCATAAGGATCATTTGAAATTTAAAGATGCAAGTCGCGGCAAACAATCTACAGCTGAAGCAAATGTATCGATAGTCACTAATAAAATTACTGATATAAGTTCGTGGGACACTGGTATTAGTGATAGTATCTTAAATGTAGCCGATAATCCATTCATAGAAAGCATAAATGCTCGTAATGCACCAGATTCATCTGCTGCAGATGCTATCGATACTTCTTTTGAATTTCCTACAATCCATCGGCAGAACTATTATTATGGGAAAAATAAGTGCATGCGCTGTGCAAAACAAACTCCAGCCCAAAGTCGCCCTTCACTTCAGAACACTATATTTGTATCCGTGGGAAAACCTAAAAGACCACCTGTCAATTTAGGACGAGTTTTCGACTTTTTCGACGTTCACGACTTTTCGAGTTCGCGGCCCGCGCCTTGCCAATAGGCTACTGACGCTTCATTATATCTTGTGCTAAAACCTACTTCCTTCCGAAAATGCCAATTTACAAATACTCATTTTTAGTTCGTGCAAATAATTGCAGCAAGAAACCATGTGTCATGACGTGGCATACTACAGCGGTAAGGCGCAGCGTGTTCACTCCTCCCGCCTCCGCTACCCGCAGCCGCTCTAGCATGGCCAACGACTGTGTCAAGCCGCGTATCGCTTACGCGCTCCTGGCGCGCGCGGCATCCGCTCCAGTGTTTGACCGTTCAACATGTATGTCGGTCGTGTACGAGCAGCTGCCGCTTTCATAGTTATTCACAGTATTATACACAAGAAAAACCAGAAACGAAAAGTGCGTTGGTGGATGAAAGAATTGTACTGAAATAGAGTGCAGTATGGAGTGAGACTCATGAGAGATATGTAGTTTGAAGCTGTTGATGACACAATAAAATATTTTACAAGGATTTCAACAGAGGACTTTAAACGCTTAAGAAACTTGATCGAGCCAAACGTGAAAAAAAATGGACACCCAGTTTCGAGAAGCTATTACAGTGGCCGAAAGGTTGACTATAACCTTAAGATTTCTAGCCACTGGGCAGTCTTATACTAACTTACAGTACCTTTTCAGAGTTTCAAAACAATCTATATCTAGAATAGTCCCAGACGTTTGTAATGCCATCAGTGGGGTTTTGAAGGATTGGGTGAAGGTGAGTAAACAATCGCAACATTAAGAAATTTCTTTTTATTTCTGTAACTGTACATTATCATGAGGTGACATTGTGGCCGAGAAATCATCATTTAAATTTGGTATTGATGAATTTTCGAGTCCCTTGTTGTCCCTTGTCGTCGCGTGCATTGGACTGTAATTGCCTACGATTTATAGCCTGTTTGACATATATTAAAGTATGGTTGTCATATTTTCTTAATTCGTTTGCTATAACTGAAATATGGATCAGTAGCTTGAAACGTTTAGCAGTAAGAATCTTAAATGCTTCCGTCAACATTTCATTTTCCTCTTCATCATGTTTTCTTTTTTTTTTTGGTTCTTCTTAGGTTTTTCTGGAACTTTTTCGTTCGTATTAAGAAAACACTTTGCAACATGTTCTTCCTTATATTTTTGTGTGGCGGCTCCTAATGTATTACGATTACGTAAACAGATATCAAAACTTATTTCGTTAATACCTAATGATGATCTTTTTGAATCAGGTCTTGATATAACGGTCGATTATGAGGGCGTTCAAAGTTCTATAACTGAGCTGGCTACCTGAATTAATTCCTTAACCGAAAAATATGTGTATAATCTTTTTGAGCGAACCAAAGCCTTGCATAATATTTATCATCGTTTACGACGAATAGATAATAGTAAGACTCGGAATTATTTACTGATAATGGCTTCATTGGTATCGTAGTGTTCGTGATACAGTAAGTAACTTGGGAAGAATTACTTAACCTACTAAGCGAGGATTTCACACCTTTTGACTACGATTACAAACTAATGTCCGAAATTCGTAACAGAACACAGGGTGAATCCGAGAACATTATTATCTATTTATCAATTATGTCTCAACTCTTTTCACGTCTATCTGCACCACTTTCAGAAAAACATAAATTAGAAATACTGTTACACAACATACGACCGCGCTATGCGACTGTTCTCGCATTCTATGTTACCGATGTTGATTCTATAGCGACACTTCGTAAACTATGCCTTAATTATGAAAAAATTCAGTGCCGTTCGTCTCAATTTCATGAACCACCGAAAGCGTAAAGTAAAACCCTTGCCCCCGATTTAGCCTATACAAAATCAGAACCTAGCTTTTACAAAAATAATTATTATAATAAAAAATTTAACACCCAGTCAAATAATAATTTCTATCATAATTATAAATCTGGTACCAATGTACCACCTACAATGACAACAACCCTAGTACTTCAACTCAAACGCCGGTTCTCTGTCTACGTTGCCGTACTAATGATCATTCGATGAGACATTGTAAACAGGAACGTTACACGGTCTGCTATAGATGTGGCTTAAGAAAAATATTTACCCTAACTGTCCCAAATGTAACTCTGAACAGAAACAAAAAACCTAGTTAGCGAAGATTGTTGCATGTTAGCGGTAAATGGTAGATCGAAAATCGCTTCGATATGGAAGACTGGAAAAATTGGTTAACTACAATAAAAATTTACTTCTCGGGTTATTCTGTTGCAACAATCTAAAAAAACCTAACTCTAATGTACGCCCTTATGTTACCATCACAGTAGGAGACAAACCTAAGTGTGGATTGCTCAATTCTGGCTCAGCTGTTACAATACTAGGTAACAACTCTCATCTTGACCCACCTTCTTCTTCTAACTTATCCATTATCAAATGCTGTCGCATTTATGACCACTAGTTGAAATAAATGATTGAAGGGTGTCCCCTTCAACCATTTATTTCAACTAGTGGTCATAAATTATCTGCGTTCGGGGATATTAATCTTCCCGGTAATTTTGAAAACCAATTTAATTACCTAAAAGCCTATATTATTCCGTCGGTTACATCACCACTCATTTTAGGTGTAGACTTTTGGAAGAAATTCAAGCTATTCCCAAAGTTCTCTAGGTCTATTTCAGTATCTCATACTAACGAGCAGCAAATATTTTCTTTTAATAACAATTCTATAGCCTTATGTTCTTATGATGATCTTAATGAAGTCCAAAAGAATTCGGCAAATAATATTATCAGAAAATTGGAATTAATATCTTATGAGAGAGTCGGACATCAAACATCAAATTGATACCGGAGATTCACTGCCTATCCGCCAGCGTTACTATAGATTGGCACCAGATAAATTACGCAACATTATCGAACAACTAGACGAAATGCCTAAACTCGGTGTAGTGGAATCTTGCGAGAGCCCGTGATATTCCCATATACTACTCACACCCAAGAAAGATGCTAAATTAAGATTCTGCCTGGACAGCCGTAAACTTAATTCTATTACTCGTAAGGATGCGTACAAGCTGCCGTATGTTTCCGAGATTTTTAGATAACCTTAAAAACGCTAAATATTTGAGCAGTTTCGATTTGTCAAAAGTATTCTCGCCTATTTCCGAAAAAGATCGTGACAAAACTGCGTTCTATATACCTACTCGCGGTACGTATAGATTTGTCACCATGCCTTTTGGAATAACCAATGCTCCCGCTACGCAATACATGCTGGTCGACCAGTTGTTTAATAATAGTCCCGAGTTCGAAAATTCTGTGTTTGTTTTTCTTAACGATATAATTTTAATATCACCTAACTTTGAACGTCACTATTCGCTTCTTATGAAAGTCTATGATAAATTAAAAACCGCTAACCTAACAATAATTTATAGAAGTCAAAGTTTTTTCGTAACGAACTTAAATATTTAGGCTATGTTGTCAACTCTAAAGGCTTACACGTAGATACGGGCAAGGTTGAGGCAATATTGAACTTTCCTACCCCTACTAATAAAAGGTAAGTCAAAAGATTTCTTGGAACTTCTTCATGGTACCGAAGGTTTATTCCCAATTTTAGCTCAATCGCTGGTCCACTTAACAAATTAAACAAATTAACTTCTACTGGTAAAAAAGCTGCCCCATTTTCTTGGTTTAAAGAGGCTAATGATTCCTTCAAAAAATTAAAGGAATGCCTAATATCCGCCCCAATCTTATCCTGCCTGGATTACAACAAGTCTTTTGAACTTCACACAGATGCGAGTGATTATGGTATAGGAGCCCTGCTCACTCAAACAGTTGATGGTGTGGAACTTCCTATAGTCTATATTACAATTAAAATTTAAATTATTCGAGGTGCAGTTGATCCCGCTGGGGTAAGTTCTTATTTATTGAAACATTGTAACTGTTCTACTTAATTATTATTTCTGAAGCTGAGGCTGCTTAGAATTTTTTAACTTCCTAGAAGGGGTGCTTGAATTTGACTAGGGCGAAGTTTCCCTAATGCTGGCCTCCATCTGGGATTCCAGGATCTACCTACTACCTAAGGGCTACCTGCTTGCCGTGCCGCGAGCTAACGGAGTGTTGGCCTACCCTCCTACCAACGGCCATCATCACTGTCGCGCTTGGGTACCACCGGCTCCATCTGCTAGCTGGCTGTCTACGACCCTGAGGGAACAGCGCTTGGACTTCGCCCCTACATCAGGCCAGTGATCCCCTTCATAGAAACTTACCTGTACGTGTGCGGAAGTAAGATAAATAAATAGTTTACTAATATAAATAATAAAATTATGTACCTTTGTGATGCTAAAACGCATTATTTGTATAATGCTTTTATTTACATGAGATAGTCAGATTCCAACCAAAGAAACCAAGTTTCTGTTCCAACACAAAATGTGCTACAGTTGGCAGAGCCGTTATTTGGAACAAACAGAAATATAACTGCTGACAATTGGTTTTCTTTAATTGAACTGGTTGACAAACTTATCGAAAAGGGCTTGACTTATGTTGGGACAATGCGCAAAAATAAAAGAGAGATACCACCTGATGTTTTACCTAATCGACAGAGGGAGATAGGCTCGACATTGTTTTGATTCGTGTAAGATAAAACTTTGGCATCTTATGTCCCAAAAAATAATCAAAGAGTAGTAATGATCTCATCAATGCATCACGACAAATCGATCAATAAAGTAAGTGGAAAACCAGAAATAATATAATTTTATAATAGCACGAAAGGTGGCGTTGATGCTTTAGATCAAAAACGCGGCGCCAACTATACCGTTTCCAGAAGAAGTCAACAATGGCCATGCGCAATATTTTCAGCCATTCTGAATATTACAAGTGCGAACAGATTTGTTTTGTGGAAAGCTTCACATCGTGGTAAACGATTGAAACGTAATCAGTACATAAAACAAATAGGACTGGATTTAATCAAGCCATTTATTGTGGAGAGGAAGGCGAAGTATCGATCGTTTTCAATAGATTTGAAGAGTAGGATTAACAATTTCTTAGCGCCAGTTGAAGAGCAACATAACTTGCTACAAGAAAATGCCTCTTCCTCTTAAACTGGAACACGAAAAAGGGGAAGATGCTTTTATATGGTCCCAAAAAAGATAATAAACAGTCACAAAAGTGTGACAAATGTTCTAAATACATCTGCAAACATCATGCACAAAAAAATTGTTATGCCTCAAGTGCCATACATAGATTTCAAAGACTGATTGACGATTTTTTGTTGTTTTTTGATAGGATGTCATTTTTTTTGTTATACAATAACTTCTAAGAAAATTAGTGAAACAGTTTTTTTTAATTTTAAGTATTTTTTATAGTTTTATGTGATGTCAAAGTGAGATATTCAAAAATTCCTACCAAATATAGCGCCTTAGTGTTAAATTTGAAAAACATGTTAATTTTATTAACTTTAGTAATAAATGTTGTTTGATATTCTTTAATAGACCTGTTTCATTACTATGCTGCCCCGTTTAGGTTGTTACCTGAAGTAATTTATGAAATATATGACTTTTTATTTCTGGGTCCAAAATGACCCACTATTCTAGTTACGTTGATTAAAATAGCGATTCCAGTTAAGGGTTAATTACGACGGTATTATTGATACAAATATTCATAAATATTTTAATGCTAATATAGATTATAGTTCTAAGATAATGACTCTGTGCGGTTACCAAGTTCATATTATATTTCATCAGCCGACGCACATCGTGCCGACACGCTCAGAAGCCGTCATTGAATGGGCTATATCAAATTACTCAGTCGAGCTTTATCGCAATAATGAAGCCTTAGTTTTAGATCACACTTTAAGCAAGGGTATTTACGTCGCGAATTGTATTGTATCAATAAAATCAAATAAAAAGGTTAAAAACACCGTTTTAAACACGACTGACAAAGACAGAAATTAAAGATAATTCCGTAGAATTGTCACCTATCGACTATAATAATTATATTTCCTGTGAAAATTCAATAATAAATCTTTGTATTCTATTTCTACTTCCAGATATAGTCGAATAGTATAGTCGAGTATTAAACCTGTTGCGGCAACACCGAATCAGCGGTAGAAAACAAGGCGCCAGGGGGCGCCCAGCGGCAATCTTCTTTTAAAAGGTCCATTGTACCAGCAAAGATATTAGCAAGTCATTATAGCATTTTTACCAGCGACCGTGTTTTATTTTATATTGTTACGTCCATTTGTAAACAAAATTGGTCCTTCGCCGCCTTGAAGAAAAGGGATAATCAACGAAAATACATTCAATAATATCACAAGGAATCTACAATTACGCAACGTGAACTTTGGACCTATGCTGCACTGTACTACACGCCACGTACATCGAACGTTAAGACAAAGGACTTGATTTGAGTCAGTTCGTTCCAATTCGTTTCTTTTTTCCCTTCACGTGTCTTTTTTAGATTAGCACAATTCGGATCCGACATTGGGATCTCTTCATATTTTGTGTTGCTTTTTTTATTAATCAATATTTCTTGCTAATACACCATAGTACCAGCCATCCCATTAGCGCATTATAATCTTACGCATCATGTAACTAATACTCTGAAGCATATTATTTTGCACTGTAGTCATATACAACGCATTACTTCGCTTTAATACATAACCGGGCGCATAACCAGTTTCACTTTGTGTCGCTCGACTAGTTCACCCGCTTACTCATTATAAATTGTCACAGTGCTTTGTTTAGTAATTTTGTTACGCGTTTGTGAATTCATTTACTTTTGTGTAATTTGCATTGCTGAAAATGAGTGAAGTTAATAAAGAACGACTTAGACACATTGTGAAAGCGCGTAGTAGCATTAAAGCTAAGCTTACTCAATTTTATAATTATTTAAATATCATAAAAAGTTGTCATTGAGTGACCTTCAAGTTAATGAATTAGAATGTCGTTTATGCAAAATAGAACCCACAGTGATTTCGACACATTACAAACTAAGTTCGAGTCGTTATCAGAAGATACTCCTGAGTTGTATGCGGAGCGAGAACAATTAGATTCTAAATACTTCTCAGTAGTGACTACGGCGCGGACGCTTCTTGAATCAATGCGTCGTCGACGTTCGCCTTCGCCCGTGTCAACCTCAAGCGACGAGAGCAGAATCGGGATGAGCCACGGTTTTGTGAGGCTACCCAAAATCAATCTACCCAGCTTTAGCAGTGACTTCCAGCACTACTTTCCACAGCGTTGGTGAAAATGGTTGACGCGCAGGCAAGACTTCACACAGCTCGCGTCATACTTGACAACGGCAGCACTTCACACTTTGTCACCCGACACCTCTGTGAGAAACTAGGTCTGGTAAGGCACAGTACTGACTCCACTATAACAGATATTAACAATCAAAATTCCTTTAGTGCAGAGTCGTGTAACCTCACCATCAAGTCGAGTTCGGGAAATTACACTGTAGACTTAAATTGTTACGTATTACCAAATATCACTAATGTTTTACCTTCGTTGTATATTGACCTTCAAAACATACCGCTACCTTCACACGTTGAGTTAGCAGACCCTTCGTTCAACATTCCTTCCACTGTTGATATATTGCTCGGAGCAGATATATTTTGGGACGTCTTAGGTTCTGAATCAATTGACTTAGGTAAGGAAAAACCTAAGTTGCAACTGACAAAGTTCGGTTGTATAATATCTGGTACAATACAACAAAGTAAATTAAAACCTTTCCATTCTTGTTTATTTATTCAAAATGATGAGTCACGACCTACACGGTTTTGGAAGCATGACTCCGTTTCGGATAATAATAGTTTATCTGTCGAGGAAAAGGCTTGTGAAACTAGTTTTAAGAGGCATACTAGGCGTGATGAAGAAGAACGATTCATAGTCGCTATTCCTCTAAAAGATTCACCGGAAGTTCTCGGCGACTCCTATAACTTAGCAAAGTGTCGGCTTATCTCTCTCGAACGTAGGTTAAAACATCAACCCCGTATTAGAGAAAGATACTTAGAATTCATATCAGAATATCTTAACCTAGGTCATATGAGTGAAAACTTAAAGTACCTAATCTAAATAAATACAATTATTATTTACCTCATCACGGTGTCATACGTGAATCGAGTACAAGTACAAAATTAAGAGTCGTCTTCGATGGCTCAGCGGTAACAACGTCTGGCAAGTCGTTAAGCAACATTCAGATGGTAGGGCCAAGACGACCTATTGTCAATTTTATTAAGGTTTAGACAACACAGGTACGTTGTATCTGGAAATATAGAAAAAATGTACAGAGCGATTCTCGTTGACCCTTCACTGACCTCTCCAAAAAATCTTATTTCGGTTTAATTCTTCTGAAAAGATTACATATTATAGTCTTAATACGGTGACATACGGCACGGCATCGGCACCGTACTTAGCCACAAAATGTCTGGTCACTCTTGCGGAACAATGTTCGGAGCCAATGGTAAGGAACGCCATTCGTAAAGACTTTTATGTCGACGATTTTCTTAGCGGTACACAAATTAGCAAAATACTAAATCAGAACATAATTCGTCCCTCTGTTCCGCCTTGGACCGCGCCTGTATGGATATTTGCGAAAAATTAGACGTTTCTGGCAAAAGAAAGTGGAGAATAGTCATTGACTATCGCCGTCTTAATGACATCACGATTTATGAAAGTTATCCGCTGCCTCTAATCACTGATATCCTTGACCAATTAGGATATTCCAAATGTTTCGCAATCTATGATCTTGCTAACAGTTTCCACCAGATAAAGATGGACCCTAAAGATGCCCCAAAAACGACATATAGTATAAGTAGGGGAGAGGTGGTATACTTGATCCCTGTTTTGGTTTTCTTTTAGTAATACTAACCATTTTCATGAATCTGACTTTCTTTTAAATCACACATGTATTTCCGTTCAATACTACTGATTTAGCACCAATACAGACCTTCTTATTTATTAAAAAAAAAACGACAAAAAGGGTTTTTTTAAAGTCCGACACAAGGATCAAGTAACCCTCCCTCCCTATGGGGATACTTGATCCCGGTGAGTGGGTTGTATGATCCCGGAGGATCAATCATCCCACCCGTCAAAGTTTCAGCCATAGGCCTACCTAAATATGGAAATTAAATAAACTTAGGTCTACTTTTAATAAGTTGTAATTAACGATTCGAAAGATGAATAGGTACAAAATGAAAACAACATAAAAAAATTGAAAACACAGACAAAAAATAAATGGGAAAATTATTCGAGAAGTGGCACGGAATAAATGTCACGTGTTTTTGAAAATTTCGTCGGCTCCGGCAAGTGTCCCAAAATGTCACCCCACACATAAAATATTTCGTCTTCCCTTGCTGGCCACTTCCAAAGCCTTCCACTTTTTTCCATTGCTTTTATTGTAGCCCCGTTTTCATGTATTTTTGTAATTTTTCCTGGGTATGACAAACCATTGTAAATTGCAACTACAAATTCCCCTACTTCTTTTCTGATGGGCTCAAAAGCTCTATGACCCTCGCCATCACTGCATAACTCTTCTTCCCCCCCTGACGATGATGGAAGTGGAGGACATTCATCAGAATCAGATGAGGTGTCATCGTCAATTTTTTTTAGTGAAAAGATTTGTCTCACTGTTTTCTTGGTAGGCCTATTTTCTTTAATCTTCCTTTTCATTTCTATCTCCGCTATCTTCGCCAACTTTTTATTTGATTGTTCTTCGATGGTTGCTTTTTCCGGAGTATCGGTTAGGATGCGAGTTCGTCCTCGCTTTCTCCCGCGCGACGACTGCGAGCGTGGACCTGCCTTGGGGTAGGGCATGATGTCCTGTGGTGAAAAGTGCATCGGCACTGATCCTCCAAGTGAGGATGGGGAAGCGCGTTCACTCACACTGCTGCTTTGTACGGGCTCCTCAAGTGGAGAAGGGAGAGGGCAGTCCGACGCTATCACACTTCTCTGTGTTGGTTCTTCAAGTTGAGAAGGGGGAGGGCGGTCCGTAACTAAACTGGTCATGAACTCACTCTCCGTGAAAATGTCGGCATTTATGGGCCATATTCCAGCCGCCCTGAAGCCACTAATTATATTGGTAGGCACCATAGCCCTTGGGAAAGCTTTCCCTAATAGTTCCGAAACGTCGTAGATTGTGATTGTTCTCCCGGGGTGTCTCAGCATAAAATTTGATGCTGCCTGAGAATAAAAGGTTTTTAAGGGGCCAAAAACAGTCCTGTCTAATGGCTGCAGCTTGTGGGATGTGTGTGGTGGAATTGTGAGAAGAACGATTCCGTTGTCTTTTGCGTAGTTGAGGGCGTCGACAGAACAATGACTCTCGTGATTGTCCATGATGATGAGGTGTTTCCTATCAGCGTTGGGTTGAACATGACGAACAAAATGCTTGAGGAATTTTATAAAACTGTCGCCCGTCATTCATCCACTAGGATGAGTAGTTGCATCGCTGCTAGGAGGGGCATGATTGAGGAACCTATCCTGCCAGTTTTTTCGGGGGAATATCATGTATGGCGGGATGTAGCCCCCGGCAGCGTTGATACAGGCACAAACGGTAACCAGCTCACCTCGTTCGGCCGATGTCATTTTTCCTACTTGTTTGGAACCCTTAACTGCAATAATTTTGCTGGGTTTATGGACAGTTGTTACCCCTGTTTCGTCAATATTCCACACCCTTTCGGCAGTAAATTCGTGCTTATTAAAAACTGCAGTCAAATTTCCAAAAAATTCCGCCACGGTGTGTTTATTAAACGCTGCCGCTCGCGCCAAGCTGGTAGGCTCTGGAGTTCTTAAGGATAGAGTTTGCTGTCTTTCCAAAAATCCACGATACCAATCGCGACCCGCCTGTTGCGAGTGATCCCATGAAGAGGGGTATTTCATCTTATTTGCTTTGGCGAATTGGTAAGCTACCTTACGCAATTGTACAACGGTAAGTCCATAATACATTTTAGACATATGAACAAGATACGCTCCTAGCTCATCCTCGTGACGTTTGGACAAAATTTGTCTATTGGTAAAACCAGGTTGAACATAAGAGTCTCGACGGCATAGCCTTTTAAGTGTCATGACATTAATTTTAAATTCTCTTGCGACGGTTTTGTAAGCAGCTCCATCTTTAACTGCTTGGACCGCATTTTTCAAGGCCTCCGGGTCGTAAGGTACCCTCTTCATGGCTCCTTGCTTCGATACGTACTTCCGCGGCATCTAAAAGAACGGAAGTTATGAGATTTACTTCTTGACCCAAACAAAAGAATTATAGGTGGGATACTTGACTCCGGGATCAAGCATCCCCCTAGCAAAAGGGATCAACTATCCCGAAGCAGTAACTTTATTTAAAATGAAAAAAAAAACAGCAACAAGATGAAAACATTTGACTCGGAAATAATTGAATTTACACAGCTAAATACACACAATATTTCATAAATACAAACAAAAAATTGTAAAGTACACGTACCTGAAGTTTTTCGAATTGTCGTACACTAAACAAAACAAGTAAGATCCGGTAAAAACATAAATTTCCAATTATTTTGGCAACGAGCTGTTGTTTCGGTTTAATGTTTACTATTTGTACTTGCCATCATGGCGGCGTCCCAATGCAGCCAACAGAACACCTTAAAACACTTTTTGGCGCTAGTTTTAAATGGGGATCATGTATCCTCGGGGATCAAGTATACCACCTCTCCCCTACTAATTCGAGTATGTCTGGTCACTATGAATTTACTAGAATGTCTTTTGGATTAAAAAACGCTACGCCAACGACTCGGCAGTTAGAATACATGAAGTATGTGCTCCACTTATTTAAATTGTATTACAGCTGCCACAAAGTCGCAAAATAAACAATTTACACGCTTCACTGGAATCAAACAAACTATGCTAGCGGTTCCGTAAAGAGTTACACACGCCTGTATACTTACTGTAACTCTTTACGGAACCGACTCACTGATCCGAATCACTAAAGTGACTCAAAAGATCAGTTCAGTAACAATGTTTCAAATGCATCATTTGGATCTGAAACATTACTTTGCTTTGTGTTAATTTAGCGCGACGCGTTGCTCGCGAAGCGACTGATCCGCGAGCGACAGAGATAGAGAGACACTGAGTAACTTAACTATTGACCCGCGAGTGGCGAGTGAGCGGGCGAAATAATTACAATCTATACAAGTCAGAAAGAGATAAAAAATGAGAAGTGTATTACTCAACTCATACGGATTTTCATGCATGTAAAAATGACCATTAAGACGCTAATGTACTATATATACATATATATATGTATATATATAAGGTCAGTGTTTGGAAGTCCGTCTGGGAGGCAAGACCATCTAGCGGCAATAACTACCATTTTTGAACGAATAGGTTCTTATGCCTCGGTCGGTAAAACACTATTACGGGGCTAGTTCGAACTAAGAAATAAAGATGTCGCTAACATCATTAGGTTGAAAGAAATCGGTCTGCTATTTTATTTCGCGTTGTGAACTTGAAGTGGGAGTGTAACGTCTCTGAGAAAATAAAAAAAAAGTGGAAAATCGATGGTGTTTTTTTAGTTTCTTTGATTACGTAAGTCATTTGACGGCTCCGTGGCGCAGTGGCTTAGCAATGAGTTGCTGCGCTGGGGGCCGCGGTTTCGAATCCCGCACGGAACAAGTATTTGTATGGCCTGCAAATAATTTTTCCGGGTCTGGATGTTTGTCCTTGTGCAATTTATGTTTGTAAACTGCCTCCACGATACAGGAGAAAATCCTAGTGTGGGGGTTATGTTTTTAAAAAAGAAGAAAAAAGAAGATTTAGTGATCCATATACTTATTTCTGGTGATGAATACATTAATATCGCTTGAATTTCGTAATAATTACCTTCACAAAATACTAACCTTAAAATGTAATAGTTGGGAAGTCCATCCAGCATGCATAAGGAAAGTCCGTCATATGCCGGCCTTGCCTCGAATGCCGATATTGTCAACCTTTTCAGCTGCACGTATTTAATAATTTTTTTTTGTTTTAAGGGTGCATAGTGCGTCCATTAGCGCCGCCAATCAAGAAAAAATCATTAAACGAAATAACTAAATATGTTTAATAAAATTCTGAAACGTACAAAACTAGGTAAAAATAAACTATTTTTGTAGGCACGTGTTTTGTCCTGGTTTAAATGTGTTTGTGTAGTTACAATCTGGATTAGGCGTTAATCCAGATTGTTACTACACGAACATATTTAAACTAAGAATTAACGCATACAAAAATAGTTTCCAACTTAACCTAGTTTTTATAAGTTTTAAAATTTTAATAAACATACCTAGTTATTTCGCCGTAATGTTATTTATTGATTGGCGGCGCTACTGGAGGCTCGGTGCGCTCTTATGCAAATCTTGAAACGTTGTTGCTATGAAAGCTTTTCTCGGGTTTTGCAAATTACTGAATTTTGATTTTGCGCATTGCTCTTAGCACTTCGATTCCCTTTCGAAAATGGCAAATATTTAACAAAATAGCTACTCCATTTGGGAAAATCACAAAACCATCCAACCTGTAACTCTTTGTTTCAGATTTATCACCTACACGTCATGCAGAAATATGCCTGATTTTCTAACTATCGATATTTTTTGGCAAAGAACCGATTTTGAAAGTTTAAACCAAAAAAAGTGGCCTTGGTTAATAACCCACTTCATACTTGCAAAAAGTTGTTTTAATTGTAGCTACAGATCAGATATTAGCTATCCACGCCATTTTAAGATTCAAGCATCGAATATACAAATTGTACTAGAATTTAATTTTTTCTGGTGTCAATGATGTTCTAAATTTGCTATTTACGCCCATTATCCCAGCGACGAGTGCCAATTTTGCAATTATGGTCAGTAACTATATAAGGAAAACGGACAAAGCGTCCTATTCTAGGGAGAAGCTACAAGCACAACTACAAGCAAGTAAAAAATGGAGAGCTGAGTGGTTACAAGGATTCTCAGGAGTATAAGATTCCGAGAATGACCATAATGAACCACGTTAACAATAAGAGGACCAAATCAAATTCACTAGGAAGAAACACAGCATTACCATTACAAGTAGAAAAGGAATTCGCTCTCGGTCTTCACCTGATGGAAAAGCATGGCTTTGGATTGACAAAAACAGAAATGCTGCAAATGGTGGCCGATTTTGTGATAAAGAACAAAATATCAACGCCATTTAAAAACGGAGAACCTGGTAATACGTGGTTCACTGCATTCAAAAAGCGACATCATTTATCGGTTAAAAAACCTCAAGCAGTTGAATATGCGCGAAAGATACAATAAATGGATTTACTGCTTGTAAATCCATTTATTGTATACGAGTACTTCAATTTAATTGAGAAAACATTAAAAGATTTGAATCTTTTGGATAAACCATCTGCAATTTGGAATTTAGATGAGACAAGTTTCTCAAAAGACCCAGACAAAACCAAAATCGTTGGACTTAAAGGACACGCGGCTACTCGAGTCATTGCTTCACCCGGAAAGGATAACACAACAATGCGCTAGGGGAAAAAATGCCGCCGCTGATAGTTTATAAATTATACAGTCATGTTTTGCAGCCGCTTGATGTGGCAGTTATGAAATCTTACAAAGATCGTTGGAATCAGATTCTTGTCAAATGGCAGCGTTTGAATGTTGGAGTTACATTGTCGAAAAAAGAGTTCACGAGGCTAATCGGAGAAGTTTTTACATAAATCGACAGACAAGTTTTAAAGAATGGTTTTCGTAAGACAGGAATTTATCCTTTTAATCCTAAAGCAGTTGATGAGAAGCAATTTGACTTGTTGAAGCTTGAACAATGGAAAAATATTGAAAAACTTGAGTCCCAACAGAAGCTTGAACACATTTCACACAGTTCTCCAAAAGAATGTCCGAATTTTGATGTCAAAGTTGAGCAGTCTACTACCAAAAGCGACCCAAAAACTCTTTTTTCATTAGCATTTAATTGCGTTTCAAAAATGGTGCACACAGCAACATCTGAAGAGCGTGACTCCCAACAGCATTTAGATTCAAATAATTTTCCTATGAGTAATTCTCATGATATGAATGAAAGTAAACTGGAAAATGGAAAACTCTTAAAACATCAAATATATGAGGCAACTAAATCCACCAATAAAGACATTTTAAACTGCGTTAGTGATGGTAAAAATATCCACGTATTAGATGACAGAACGTTGACTTTTGAAGAACTCCTCTTGATGAAAGTTAAAGCTGGAAACAACACAAAAGTTAAGAGACAAAGAATGGCACCAGGAGCGGAAGTTATAACTCATGAAGACGTTATGAGGCGTAAAAGGGAAGAAAAAATCTAAATTATTAAGAAAGAACCAAAGGAAATTGAGATAA